GGTCAAGATTTAGATATAGCTCCCATATATAGTTTCGTCCGATTTCATGTAAATGGTGCACCAAAGTCCCTATATATCCTTCGATTTGCACGAAATTTGGCATAACGTACTTAATTGAGCCTAGAATGATGTCTGCCAAGTTTCGTGAAAATCGGTCCAGATATAGATATAGCTCCCTTTTATTATAGATTGATTTTAAGTAATTGACGTACTAAGGAACCAATTGGAATAAAACGTTCTGAAAGTTGTATAACCTAACCTGTGACAAGTTTGTTTGAAATCGCTCAATATTTGGATAGAGCTTCCATATATATTTTCGCCCGATTTCAAGTAAATTGGGCATCAAAATCCTCATGTTAGTCAGATTGACATCAAATTTTGCACAACTTAAAAAATTGAGCATAGAATTACGTAGTTGCGTTTTCTAGAAGTGCAGACATAGCCCAACGGATGACCTATTTATATTTGTTTGAAGTCGATTGACATACTTTATGGATAGATCTAGGTAGATTCACATTTAGATAAATATCACATTTTTTTGTCATCCAATTTTATGTTATAGTCCTGCTTAATATACCCATAGTGGTGAAGGGTATCATATAGTCGGCCCTGTCCGACTTTACTACTTTCCTTACTGTTTTTTTTTTGGTCTATGATGAATATCTCCACTCCACCAGACGTCGGACTGTGTTGCTACCTATAGCCGCTTTTATACCCTTCACCACACTGTGGTACAGGGTATTATGTCTTTGTACATATGTTTGTAACAGGTAAAAGGAAGTGAGATAGACACATGGTTCCTTTTGAGATTTACGCATGTCCGTCTGTCCGTCCGTCCGTCTGTCTATCCGTCTGTCCATGTTAAATTGTAAACAAAGTACAGGTCGCATTTATGATCCGAATTGGATGAAATTTGGCACAGCTCATTTATTTGGCCCAAGGACGAACCCTATTGAAATTGAGAAAAATCGGTTCAGATTTAGATATAGCTCCCATATATATTTTATCCCATTTAATGTAAATGGTGTAATATAAATGGTGTAGACTGATGTGTGTCAAGTTTCATGAAAATCGGTCCAGATTTATATTTTCTTTCGATTTAATGTAAATGGTGTTTAATGTAAATGGTGTAGACTGATGTGTGTCAAGTTTCATGAAAATCGGTTCCGATTTAGATATAGCTCCCACATATATTTTCGTCCGATTTAATGTAAATGGTGTACCAAAGTCCCTATATATCTTTCGATTTGCACGAATTTTGGCATAGTGTAATGAATTAGGTCTAGACTGATGTGTGTCAAGTTTCCTGAAAATAGGTCCACATTTAGATATAGCTCCCATATATATTTTCGTCCGATTTAATGTTAATGGTGTACCAAAGTCCCTATATATCTTACGATTTGCACGAAATTTGGCATAGCGTAATGAATTAGGTCGATACTGATGTGTGTCAAGTTTCCTGAAAATCGGTCCAGATTTAGATATAGCTCCCATATATATTTTCGTTCGATGTAATGTAAATGGTGTACCAAAGTCCCTATATATCTTTCGATTTGCACGAAATTTGGCATAGCGTAGTGAATTAGGTCTAGAATGATGTGTGTTAAGTGTCGTGAAAATCGGTTCAGATTTAGATATAGCTCCTATATATCTTGGCTTCCGATTTTATGTAAATTATACACTAAAGACCCAAAGTTTGTCCGATTGTCACACAATTTTGTACAATGAACTGTAGTTAATATAAGTTAATCTCTGGTAATCTCATTGAAATCGGTTCTGACCAAATGAAAAATTTATTATAGGTTGCAGAGTGACATATTTTTGGATCCATTTTCGTGTTTATAATTGAATATATGTTGAATATACCCAAAGTGGTGAAGGGTATCATATAGTCGGCCCCGTCCGACTTTACTACTTTCCTACTGGTTAATTGTTTATTTAGGGAATATGCGAGTGCTCATATAAACTACATCGAAACACAAACTGTTTTGATAAATATTTATGATATATTGTATGATGGCGCTATCTCGTACATTATAACAGTTTATTACAGTATTGCGTGAGAAAATTTCGCTCAAAATAAAAAAAGAAAATATTTTGGGTCTAGATAATACATTTGTATTTTCAAATTGATAATGGAATAGCCCATAACGTATACAAAAACAATTTTTTAAATGAGATAAGAATCATTGCATCTAGATAATAACACAATAGTGACATTCTCTCTTTAATTTCAAATAACATTTCAACAAGAACCACTCAGTCTGTTCAGAATTGTTAATCGGGAATGTTTAAAATTGATCGCACTCTATTAGAATTATAAGTATTATTATTATTATTGTTGTTATACAAAATAAGACTAACAACACTATGGATACGTGGCTTATCACACTTCTATTGTTTGTCGGCAGTATCAGTTTGTTTTATTTGTTTTTAATATGGAATTATGGCGGTTGGAAGAGACGAGGTGTACCAGAAGCTAAATCGTATCCCGGCATTGGGTCATTACCCTCGTTGTTTACACAAAAACGTAATTTTCTATACGATTTAGATGAGATTTACCGGTAAGCTTTAGAATGCATTTAAAATAGTAAAATAGAATAATATAGTGACGAAGGTATAGCTCGAATCACAATACATTTTTATGCGAACACCATCGGTGTAATGAAAATGTAAAATTTGAAATTAAAGACAATTCACTTGATAAATATAGGCATAAGTTGTTATACCCTCCACTATAGTGAGAAGTATGGGAGAGACCGTCGATTTTCCGATGTCTGATTGTCTGTCGTATGAAATTAGAATACTGAAGATAGAATTTTGAAAATTGTTATTGGTCCACGTTTTGGTGTAGACAAGTTATAAAGGAACCACCCATTTTCTAGGTTCTTTTAAAGGTTTGGGCTCATTTTCTAACCGAAAGAGCTGTAATTTGACAATCCATTCTGAATGGTTTTAGACGGATTGTGCAACCGAAAAGTAATTTCAGGTTTTTGGAGGCCGATATATATCATTGGGGAAAATTATCATTTTAAGTCCATGTCTTTCGATAGCTCCTATGTGAAGATTCCTCCAAATGTTTGGAATTTTGAGGGTATAAGTCGCATAAATAAAGGTGTAATGAATAAGTTGTAATTTGGCATACCAGTTTTTTAGAGTTCGCCATATATCTGCGCCTAAAAAGATTTAGCGGTATTTTGAAGGTTTTAGACGCATTTTTTCTAACGTTAATGGCTCTAATTTAGTATTTCTGGGGTTTGGAGGTTCAAACACGTTAATCAACCGCATAAGCTGTATAAAAATATCAATATGGGTACATGATCGAGTTTGTTCTAATTTAATATTAGTTTGGGGAACATTATTTAACATGCTTCGGAATGTCCGATTTGGGCCAAATATGCACCGTTTTAATGAATGACTTGTTTGCATTTTAAGGGTAACTTCATTATACCTTTCTCATAGAAGTTCTGCTCTTTATTTGCAAAAAAAAATCTAGTAGTCGATTTTCACAATCATCCCAAGATACCAATTTTTATCATTAAAGAAATTTTGCAATGCAAGAAAAAGATGATAATCGCTTGATGGCAAGTCCGGATTGTATGGCGGATGCATTATAACTTCCCAACCAAGCTCCCGAAATTTCTCGGGAGTCACTGTAGATGTGTGTGTGGCCAGCGTTGTCCTGTTGGAACACAACACCTCGCCTGTTGGCCAATTCTTACCGTTTCTGGTCAATTGTAAGTAGTTTAAAACAGTTTTTCAGCTCCTGGGCGATGTTACCACTGCTGACATGCCGGTCAACTTCACTTGTTTTGATAAATTTTTATACCCTACACAACTATGTTGTCAGGGTATTATAGCTTTGTGCAGCCCCAAAAGTTTGTAACGCCGCGAAATATTGGTCCTAGACCCACCTTTAAGTATACCGATCGTAATATCTCGACTAGCTGAGTCGATCTAGACATGTGTGTCCGTCCGTCCGTCCGTCTGTCAATTATAATTTGTTAACACGATACATGCCACAGTTATGGACCAATCTTCACGAAATTTTGCATGTAGGATGGGTTCTGTCCAATGAAGACCCCTATTGTTTTTGGAAAAGATCGGTTAATATTTAGGGGATGAAATGGACCAAATACATTATTTTTGTCGGTTTTTCTGGTCGCTCCAGAGGCCGCAATTATGGCCCAAACACCGCGAATTTTTGCATGGAGAAGGGGATCGGGCCTGAGAATAAGCATGCATATTTTGATAAAGATCGGTCAATATTTAGCGGGTCAAATGGACCCTGCCTTTTGTGTGAAAAATGACAAAATTTGTATTCTATGGCATATATATTTACTCCTGAAGGATGTAGACCCGAGGTGTTGATAGTGTATCCAATAGGAGTGGTTGGCCTTTAAATTGATACCAAATATAGTGATGTATCTACTCAGATGTGGGAGTTACAGTCAAATATTTACAGGTGCTTACGTATTCAGATATTATTTAGTAACCCATTACCACCCAGGTGGAAATATCGCGCTGATGGCTTTGAAATTTTTCATGAAGTTCCAGTTATGGTCAAGGACAACGCCTACAATATTCGGTGAAGATCAGAGTAAAATTTTGGGATGAAATGGGTCGAAAACTTAAATTTTTTTGTGTTTTCGAGTCGAGTATAATCCGAAAATCACAACACAACCCACCGTGAAGGTAATCTGGACAAGTAATTAGAAGGACTGTACTGAATATTCGAAAAAGTAAGGAAGAGGTTGACCTCTAATTGGGCAAGAGGGGGTAATATCACGAAATATTACTCAGAATCGGATTAAACATCCTCAAAAAGTTGGAGTTCGTGGTAGTTTTGTAGGGTATCGTATGGTCGGCCCCGTCCGACTATACTGCTGCGCTCACTGGTTATAACATATTGTATGATGGCGCCAAGTGGCAAGACTGGGCAAATATCACGAAATATTACTCAGAATCGGAATAAACATCCTCAAAAAGTTAGAGTTCGTGGTAGTTGTGTAGGGTATCGTATGGTCGGCCCCGTCCGACTATACTGCTCCGCTTACTGGTTATAACATATTGTATGATGGCGCCATCTCGTACATTATGACAGTTTATAAGAGTATTCAATCGAAATTTGATGTTAAAATGCCGCATTTGGCTGTAATTTGAAATTACGGGACCTTGGTTGGTAAACAAATTCTTAGCAGAACATTTTCAATAGAGGTCCATTCTTCCATACAAAGGTCTCAAGTCATTTTCTGGCTGTTCAAAGTCCCATGTCAAATTTTGCGAGTGTTTCCAGTTTATTTTCATTACTCTTGGTCTCATTTGAGTTTTTTCGAATGTCAAACTCGTTGTGGTATAAAAGGTTCGGCCTTGTTATATCCTGCACCAAATACTAGAGGGTATATTAAATTTGTCATTCTTTTTCGCCTGAGACCTTACAAACTATAAATATATTCTTGATCAGAATAAAATTCGATATCGATTTAAGCATGTCCGTTAGTCACGATGGAGAACGCAATATTTAGAACTGAGCTCTGGAATTTTGCACAGGAATTGTAAGTACTCCTAGGATGTTTTGTTTTGCAAATGGGATATATGTGGGTCCAAGGTACCCCATAGTATTCGGTATTTTGGACAGGTTTGCCAACAGAACTGGCTGTTATTTGATATTTTTGATTTTCATTGAATAACACATATCCGTACCAAAAATTATTAATATTTATCCAAGTTTCAGGGTAGCCCCCCCAAATAACCCAAAATTTTGTTGCGATTTCGGTACGAATTTTGCATCTAATTCGGAAACGAATTGGGAAAAAACTCGGAATAAAATGTTAGCTGGAGTATTTTTCATAACATGAGTTGTCTCCTAGGAGCCCCTCCATTAAATTTACATATTTTGATTGTCATCCTCATGGTGAAGGGTATACAAATTTCGGTCCGACCGGGCTTAACAGGGTTTTTAATTGTTAATATTTAACATTTTTTCGATATTAATAGGTAAATATGCGAACTGTAATTTTTCAGTTATCAGGAATGTATTAATTATTAATTGAAGGGTGCTGAAATTTTGCATAGGGTTGTCTTTTGTCTGCAGGCAGGTCAAGTTCGAAGATGGATATATCGGTCAACGTTTAGGCATAGCTTCCATATAAGGTTACCCGCTAAAATTCGGTATTTTGGGGTTCTTGAGCGCATTTTTCAGACGAATTCGCTGAAATTTTGTACATTGAGTTTTTATTGGGTACTAAATGTCTCCACAAAAACTTATAAGTATCGGTCCACTTTTTCTGGTAGCCCCCATATAACGGTACCTCCTAATTTTCAGTATTTTGGAGGTTTTGGTCGCATTTCTCCACCGAGTTGGCTGTAATTTAGTATTTTGAGTTCTTAATACCAAATCTCTCTACACAAAATTATGTATATAGTTCACTGTCTCAAAAAAAAAATTTGCTACAGATATATATATATATATATAAATATAGGTCCACTTTTTCAGGTAGCCCCCATATAACGGTACCTCCCAATTTTCAGTATTTTGGGGGTTTTGATCGTATTTTTCCGCCGAATTAGCTGTAATTTAGTATTTTGAGTTTCTAATGGGTACCAAATCTCTCCACAAAAAATTATGAATATAGGTCAATTTTTCGGATAGCCCCCATATAAGGGTACCCCCAATTTACGGTATTTTGGGGATCTTGAGCGCGTTTTTCAACCGAATTTGCTGTAATTTGGTATTTTGTAGTCGTATATGGTAACAAATCTCTCTACCTAAAAATTATTAATATTCGCCCCCTTTTTGGGGTAGTCCCTATATAAGCCCCTTTTTATACCCTTCACCACACTGTGGTACAGGGTATTATGTCTTTGTGCATATGTTTGTAACAGGCAAAAGGAAACGCGATAGACACATGGTTCCTTTTGAGAATATGCATAGAATCACTTTTTAAGTCGATTCATGCATGTCCGTCCGTCCGTCTGTCTGTCCATGTTAAATTGTAAACAAAGTACAGGTCGCATTTATGATCCGAATTGGATGAAACTTGGCATAGGTCACTTATTCGTCCCAAGGACGAACCCTATTGAAATTGGGAAAAATCGGTTCAGATTTAGATATAGCTCCCATATATATATTTAACCGATTTAATGTAAACGGTCCCTATATTTCTTTCGATTTGCACGGAATTTGGTACAGCCTAATCATTTAGGTCTAGAATGATGTCTGCCAAGTTTCGTGAAAATCGGTCCAGATTTAGATATAGCTCCCATATATAGTTTCGTCCGATTTCACGTAAATGGTCATCCAAAGTCCCTATATATCTGTTGATTTGCACGAAATTTAGATTGATGTCTGCCAAGTTTCAAGAAAATCGGTCCTTATTTAGATATAGCTCCCATATATAGTTTCGTCCGATTTTATGTAAATGGTGCACTAAAGACCCTATATATCTGTCGATTTGCACGAAATTTGGTATAGCGTACGGAATAAGGTCTAGAGTTATGTCTGCCAAGTTTCGAGAAAAAAGATATAGCTCCCATATATAGATTCGTCCGATTTCATGTGAATACTGCACCAATGTTCCTTATATATCTTTCGATTTGCACGAAATTTGGCATAACGTACAGAATTGAGCCTAGAGTGATGTCTGTCATGTTTCGTGAAAATCGGTCCAGATTTAGATATAGCTCCCATATATATTTTCGTCAGATTAAATGTAAATGGTGCACAAAAGTCCATACATATCTTTCAATTTGCATGAAATTTGGCATAACGTGCTGAATTGAGCCTACAATGATGTCTGCCAAGTTTCGTGATAATCGGTACAGATTTAGATATAGCTCCTATATACAGTTTCGTCCGATTTCATGAAACTTCAATATATATTTTCGACCGATTTTAAGTAAATTTGACATCAAACTCCTCATGTTAGTCAGATTGACATCAAATTTTGCACAACTTACAAAATTGAGCATAGAATTGCGTAGTTGCGTTTTGTACAAGTACAGACATAGCCCAACGGATGATTGATATTTGTTTGAAGTCGATTGATCATCACATAGTGGTGAAGGGTATCATATAGTCGGCCCCGTCCGACTTTACTACTTTCCTTACTGGTTCAGTTATCAGGAATGTATTAATATTTTCCCCCAATTTCTTAATTTTTTACACTCTTCTGGTACAGAAAATATCGAGATACAAATAAATTTGTGGGTGCCTATAGTGGACGTGCCCCAATGCTGCTCATTCTAGATCCTGAATTGGTACATCGCATTCATGTCAATGATTTCAAATCGTTTCATGACAATGAATTTGGTGATTATGTAAGTACTAGGGAGTCTATAATCATATTTGAATATATAACTGTCATAAATACTCGCATGTAGATTGATGAAAAATCCGATATAATTGCATTTAATAATCCATTTTTCCTGCGTGGTGAGTCATGGAAAGAGAGACGCGCTGATTTGGTACCCGGTATGTCACCAATTGGGGTAAATATTTAAATGAATTGAAATTTTAGGTATTGTAAAAAATTAATTTTGTATGCATTTCAGATAAAAAGTATTTATCCCGTGACATTGGAAAAGTGTAAACGTTTGTCGCACTTCATTAGGGATCAAATGAAGACGAAAGCCAAGGAAGGAGGTTTGGATGCACATGATGTAAGCATTCATTTGAAGCTAGTAAAAAAGATTTTAAGTTCGGCCGAGCCAAATTGATTTCAATAGATTTTCCTAATTATATTAATTCTTTCTTCTAGCTCTGCCTTCGCTTTACCACCGAAGTGGTTAGCGATTGTGTTTTGGGTGTTAATGTGGGAACTATAAATGACCAACCCTCAACCCTATTGGATATGATCAAGAACCTATTTACATTAACACCATCGCAGATCATCTATCAACTGACTATTGCATTTCTACCGAGTCTAAAGAAATATTTAAAAGCTACGTTCTTCTCTAGGGCCAGTACAAAATATTTTTTCGATCTTATGGCTGATTCTATTCGACTGCGACGACAGGAACAAAGTAATAAAAATCGTGCAGATTTTTTGAACTTTCTATTGCAGCTACAGGAAAAGAAGAAATTATCGAATACAATTTTAACTGCAAATGCCATGACATTTTTGACCGATGGATTTTTGACAACTGCCCATAGCATAAGTAATTGTTTGTTGGGGGTAGGTTTTAAAAATAAAAACAATTTGAATTTTAAATAACGTATTTTGCATGCTTTAGCTGGCCAGATATCCCGAGTCTCAAGAGAAGTTACGTGCCGAAATTATGGAAAATATCAATGAGGAGGGAATTGTCAGCTATGATAAACTGACGGAAATGCCCTATTTAGATGCATGTTTTAATGGTATGTTTTCTAATCGAAATATATATTTTCCAATACTGATTCCAACATTTGTTTCGTCTACAGAGGCCCTGCGTTTATTCCCTCCTGTCGCCATGAATTCCAAGCTATGCACTCAACCATATGAATTTGTAAATAATGATGGCCAAGTTTTGCATATGAAGCCAGGTGAGGCCGCCACAATTTGCTACTACAGCATACATCATGATGAACGGTATTATGAAGATCCGGAGGAGTATAAACCTGAACGGTTTTTACCCGAAAATGGTGGTGTCAAGAAATATCGTGAAGAGGGTAAATATATGGGTTTTGGCGATGGACCACGTATTTGTATGGGTAAGAACTTTTTCTTTCAAAGATATTTCATTTCCTTTAATTTATTTTTTGATGTTTTTTTTAGGCATGCGCTTCGGTTCAACTCAGGCGAAAGCTGCCATCGTTGAAATCGTTAGAAATTTCTATGTGAAATCTAATCCCAAGACACGCAGTGACAATTTGTTGGATAAAAAGGAATTCATACCAGCCTTGGATGGTGGAGTTTGGCTGGATTTTGAACCGATCAATGGATAAATTGAGCAATAGCTAATATGTGTCATTCGGATCAACGTTTCTTATTCCGATTTCAAGGAGGTTAATAAACATAGCTATAAAACCTATTGGAATGTAGTTTTGACATAGATCCCATTGTGGGTATTTTCAAGGTCAGTAGTGTTGACGGTTTATTTGGGATACCATTTGTATTTTGTTTTTGCAAAATAGTCAGGCTGAATCCCAGTTTGTTGTTTTTATAAAAAACAACTATTTATTAGTGGGTAATGTATGGCATTGTTTGCCGAGGGGTAAGGCAGGGAAGACTATAGTTTCGGATCACGCCACTGTTCCTCATCAGTTCCCTTAATTTTTTGTTGGGATATTCTCCCCAGAAGCTATTGCTTCTATACAAAAAAACCTTTCATACCCAAATGTCTGTTGTAACAAAGCAAAGTACTTAGCTGACCAACGACATAAACAAACTGGGATTCAGCCTGACTATTTTGCAAAAACAAATTATTTTTAAGGTTTTCAGCCGCATTTTCTCACCGAAGTTCCTGAAACTTTACATTTTAATTTCATACCAGGTTTACATTCCGTGTTCCTAGTTTTTACATAACCCCGCTTTATTCCCTGTATGTTGAAGTCTTTAATTTTCAAACCTGAGTGTCTGTATTTTTCTCAAGGCATAAAAAGACAGACAATTTACAGAGACAGATTCCTCATATAAAGGTCCCGACCGATTTATGGACATACAAATATAAAGATAATCATACGTTTACAAATTCCAATAGATGATTCGAATCGGATAATCCGCTCGAATAGGCGTCGTCCCCTTGACCATTACCGGAATTTCGTGTAAAATTTCAAATCGATGGGTGCGAAATATATTACCTATGGTGTGGTAATGGTAATCAGAATCGGTAGATCTCTGGAAATATTTACGTATAAATCCCACATACGAGTACATACAATAATATAATTGGTATCAATTTAAAGGTCAACCACTTCTCTTGAATATACTATCGAATTTTCGGGACTATATTCTTCAGGAGTAAATATATTTGCCAAAGGATACAAATTTTGTCGTTTTTCACACAAAAGTCTGGGTCCCTTTGACCCGCTAAATATTGACCGATCTTATTCAAAACTGTCATGCTTAATCTATGTTCAGACCCAATCTAGCCGTCTGTTCGTCTAGATTGACTCAGCTAGTCGAGATATGACGATCGGTATACTTAAAGGTGGGTCTAGGATCAATATTTCGCTGCGATAAAAACTCTTGGGGCTGCACAAAGCTCCAATACCCTGACAACATAGTTGTGTATGGTATAAATATGCATAGAATCACATTCTGGGTCGATGTACAGTTCGCATTTATGATATTTATGATAATTGGAAAAAATCGGTTAAGATTTTTAATAAATGGTTCACCCGAGACCCAAAATATGACCGATTGACACAACATTGACACAACGTGCATAAGTTAGTATGAACTAACTTGTGTCAAGTTTTTTTTTTGAAATCGGTTATGATTTGGATATAGCTCCCATATATATTTTCGTGTGTGGCGTTATTGCGGGTTGTAGAAATTTGTGCAGACCCAGCTTCAATTGTGCACCAAATAATCAACGGATATCCGATTGAAACTTGTTTCAAATAGATTTACATAGTTACGTTTCATTGAATTTCATCCGATTTGGACGAAATTTCGTATAGTTCATTTATTTGGCCTAATAACGAACCCCATTGAAATTGATGAAAATTTCATCCGATTTTATGTAAATCGTGCACCAAAGTCCCTATATATCTTCCGATTCGCACGAAATTTGGCACAGTGTACTGAATTAAGACTAGATTGATTGTGGTATGTTTCGTGAAAATCGGTTCAGATTTAGATATAGCTCCCGTACATATTTTCGTCCGATTTTATGTAAATGATGCATAGAGATGGGCATTTGGATAAATACCCAAAGGGTAAATACTCAGTAAATTGGGTAAATACCCATTTGTGGGTATTTATTTGGGTATTTACTATATTGAATCGGCAATACAACATCATACACCCTATTTCCGGGTTTCTGTTATCAAATCGATTAAAAATTGGTAGTTTTACGATACTTTAAAGACGTGGGTAAATGCCAGAGTTTTTACCCAAAAATTGGGTATAAACTCATTAACTGCCGAACCACTTGACATAGGCGGCCAAAATTTTGCATACATGTTTTTAATGTCAAAACAAATATAGAAATCCAAAATGGTCCCGGGGCCCAAGTATTGATATAGCCTCCATATAACCGTATCTCCCGATTTAAGTCATTTTTTGTCTATTAGACACATTTTACAACCAAATTGGCTGTAATTTGGCACAGAGTGTTCTTCTTGGGTACCAAATGTCCATGCACTGCCATAACTGCCGAACCAGTTGACATAGGCGGCTAAAATTTGGCTAATAGGCAAAAAATACCTTAAATCGGGAGATACGGTTATATGGGGGCTATATCAAAACTTGGACCCAGGAAACCCATTTCCTATACCATTAAGTAATGATATAATATTAAGTACTGATATAAAAATCATCTAAGCCAAATGTCAAGTGGTTCGGCAGTTGGGTAAATACTCAAAATAGGGGTACCTTTGTATGGGTCTTTAATGTATCGTAAAACTATCCATTCTAAATTGATTTGATAGCAGAACCCGGAAATAGAGTGTAAGATGTTGTATTACCGATTCAATATAGTAAATACCCAAATAAATACCCGCAAATGGGTATTTACCCACCCCTTGGGTATTTACTCGTTAAATACACTGTAAATACCATTTCTAATGATGCACCAAAGCCCCTACATTTTTTCGATTTGTATGAAATTAGACATAGTGTACTGAATTAAGACTAGAATTATGTGTACCATGATTCATGAAAATCGATTCAGATTTTGATATAGCTCTCATATATATTAATACCCTACACAACTATGTTGTCAGGGTATTATAGCTTTGTGTAGCCCCAAGAGTTTGTAACGCCGCGAAATATTGGTCCTAGACCCACCTTTAAGTATACCGATCCTCATATATCGACCAGCTGAGTCGATCTAGACATGTGTGTCCGTCCGTCCGTCCTTCTGTCCATTATAATTTGTAAACACGAAACAGGCCACAGTTATGGACCAATCTTCACGAAATTTTGCATGAAGGATGGGTTCCGGCCAATGAAGACCCCTATTGTTTTTGGTAAAGATCGGTTAATATTTAGGGGATAAAATGGACCAAATACTAATTTTTTCGGTTTTTCTGGTCGTTCCAGAGGCCGCAATTATGGCCCGAACATCGTGAAATTTTACATGTAGTAGGGGTCTGGCAATGAATGAGCATGCCTGTTTTGATAAAGATCGGCCAACATTTAGCGGGTCAAATGGGCCCTGAGTCCCTAAATATGCTTCGATTTGCACGAAATTTGGCATAGCGTACTGAACTAAGTCTAGAAAGATGTGTGTTAAATTTCGTAAAAATCGGTTCAGATTTAGATATAGCTCCCATATATATTTTCGCCCGATTTTAGGTAAATATTGCACCAAAGTCCCTAAATATGCTTCGATTTGCACGAAATTTGGCATAGCGTAGTGAACTAAGTCTAGAAAGATGTGTGTTAAATTTCGTAAAAATCGGTTCAGATTTAGATATAGCTCCCATATATAGTTTCGCTCGATTTTAGGTAAATGGTGCACCAAAGTCCCTAAATATGCTTCGATTTGCACGAAATTTGGCATAGCGTACTGAATTAAGTCTAGAAAGATGTGTGTTAAATTTCGTGAAAATCTTTTCAGATATAGATATAGCTTCCATATATATGTTCTCCGATTTTGGGTAAATGGTGCACCAAAGTCCCTAAATATGATTCGATTTGCACGAAATTTGGCATAGCGTACTGAATTAAGTCTAGAAAGATGTGTGTTAAATTTCGTGAAAATCGGTTCAGATTTAGATATAGCTCCCATATATATTTTCGTCCGATTTTAGGTAAATGGTGCACCAAAGTCCCTAAATATGCTTCGATTTGCACGAAATTTGGCACAGCGTACTGAAAGTCTAGATCGATTTGTGTTAAATTTCGTAAAAATCGGTTCAGATTTAGATATAGCTCCCATATATATTTTCGTCCGATTTTAGGTAAATGATGCACCAAAGTCCCTAAATATGCTTCGATTTGCACGAAATTTGGCGTACCGTAGTGAATTAAGTCTAGAAAGATGTGTGTTAAATTTCGTAAAAATCGGTCCAGATTTAGATATAGCTCCCATATATATTTTCGTGCACCCATATATAATGGTGCACCAAAGTCCCTGTATATCCTTCGATTTGCACGAAATTTTGCATAGCCTAGCGCCAAAGTCCCTATATATCCTTCGATTTGCACGAAATTTGGCGTACCGTAGTGAACTAAGGCTAGAAAGATGTGTGTTAAATTTCGTTAAAATCGGTTCAGATTTAAATATAGCTCCCATATATATTATCGGCCGATTTTATGTAAATGGTACACCAAAGTCCCTCAATATGCTTCTATTTGCACGAAATTTGGGTTTATAAGTAAATGAAGAACTCTAAATGTAGCCCAATGCACAAAACATACTGAAATATGTGTAACCTAACATGTGACAAGTTACTATGAAATCGGTTTAGATTTCGATATTTTGCTTCAAATTTATTTATATAATTTTGTCCCATTGTAAGTAGCAACTCTATATCTGACCAAAGATTAGTATAGATTGCAGAATGACATGTTTAATTTCATGTTAATGATCCTTCAAAAATGCGACGTCTGTTAGGATTCCATCTGTTGAATATACCCAAAGTGGTGAAGGGTATCTTATAGTCGGCCCGTCCGACTTTACTACTTTCCTTACTGGTTTTTTTTTTTCAGTTGGGACAAAATTTTGCACAGAGTACTGAATTAGGCTCAGATGTCTGCAAAGTGTTGTTTAAATCGGTTTAGATTTAGATATAGGTCCCATATATAGTTTCGTCCGATTTTTTGTGCAACGGTTGTTCAATTAGATCCATGTATTTATATATAGCTACCATACAAAATTTTACTCGATTTCATACAAATGATACACCAAAGAATCCACGTCAGCCCGTTTGACATGCAAATTTCCATTGATTTCAGAATGGTATGTGTATGGGGTTTTTCGATTGGTTCAAATATACATCGTGATAGCACACTTAATTTCGTCCGATTTCATGTCAATGGTCCCCCAAAGATCCTATGTGTGTTCTATCGATAGGATATTGTATGTAATAACATCTCTTGTATGTACCCAAAGTGGTGAAGGGTATCACATAGCCGGCCCCGGCCGACTTTTGAACTTTCCTTACTGGTTTCTTTAATTAAATTGTGCACTGAAGTGACGGATTTGCATACAATTTAGTGCAATGTACTGCAGTTAGTATAGCCTTAAGTGTGTCAAGTTTTAATGAAATCGGTTCAGATTAACATATAGCTCCCACATATATATTTTCGTTCGGTTTTAGGTAAATGTAGCACCAAACTCCTAATGTTTGTCCGATTGAACAAAATTTTGCATAACGTATCAAATTGGGAATAGAATTAATTTGTTGGCGTTTTGTTAAAATTGGCGCAAATATTTTCGGGCTAAGTCATAATCAGCGGGTATCTGACTGAGAAAAAATATTGAACAGTGCAGCATACCGAATAGCGTGTGTCAAGTTTACTTTAAATCGATGTACATAAACTTGTAAATATCATATCATATAAAACCTACATAGTTTTATAATCCACAATTCATTTCTCACATCTCATGGAAGTCGTCGAGGGAGATACATAATATAATCATTATCGGAGTAAAATTATATGTGGGTTTGATCACGATAAAATCTGAATATGAGTCCACGATTTGTTATTGTGCTGTGGCATACCAAGCATTTGGGTGGAAAAACATATTTCCAACAAATTTTTATATTCCCATATTTAATATAGCCCACTTTAAAGATCTCTCCCCATTGTATGTATTTTCATGATTTGGAATTTTAAAAATTCTTCATAGCAAATGTTCAATAAAGGTCCGTGTTTTGAGGTACGTCTCATTTTTATTTAGAATATTCCAGTAGCATTTTGCAACGTATGGGTCTGCACTTGGTACTTCGTCACAAGAATAATTAAGAAGCTCCTGGCGGAAAATATCAATCTTGGTTGGTAGCTTGGCTGTAGTAAGTGTTGACCACCTGCAATCAGGTTCATCTGTTTTCGAATGTTCCAACCTGAAAATTTCGATGAACTGCCTCTAGCTCTGAATGGTTATCCATATGCTTTTAAAGGTTTAAATACTCACGTTTCTAAAATATTGTCTTATGAAAATGTTGGTATCGGTTAGGGTGATGTTAATATTACTACGCCTTCAATTTATCATACCTATCAATAGCATTCGACGTTTAACACTCGTTGTTGCCATATAGCCGGTGACAGCATTTTATTTACTTTTATTCTCCTCATTGTGAAAATAAACATTTTATTTTTTTCAGTCAAATAGTTTATCTCCGACCCCTTAGCCGCATTTCTCCCTCTCTTGACATTATTGCTGTGAACATTCCTATGTATTTAGATGGGCATATTTAAATTAATAATTTTACTATTCAGCCCCTTTACAAGTTTGAGAAACAAATATTCATTGTTATGTATATACCCACAATGATGAGTACTAAATTACACTCACAAGTACATTTTATTTGAAATGTACATAATTTTTCAATTATTTATTGCTCATCTCTAACAGAGAACCGGCGAGAAATAACGAATTTCAAACAACTATGTAAGCATTAGAAGCTCAAACATTTCATTTTAGTTCTTACATTACTGTCGATGAGTACAGACGTTATACAACGGCTTTGAAAACAATATCGAAATAAATTGAAATACAAATATTTTGTAGTTAGAAAGTGTGTGTGTGTGCGGAAACGATGATCTTAATAACGCTATGGCTAATGGTAGCCGCTTGCGGTTTATTTTACCTATTTTTGCGTTGGAATTTCAACTATTGGTGGTATTCGGAAGTTAATGGACCAAAGCCAGAAATCTACTTTGGCAATTTACCCAGTGCTGTAACGAAAAAACGTCATGTTGTCTATGACATGTGTGACATATATAAGTATGTGTGTATGGTGAGAAAGGACGGAAGTGCATTTTAATTTATATTAGAGTTCCAAAAATTACCATTGAATTATTTTCTTTGTGCTATATTGGAAATCAATAATTTTAAAGCAAAGAAGTTGATTATTTTAAGATATTTTTTTATTGGAAATAGTATAGCATATAACTGTGACCTATATATCGATTCGAAAAATGGCAAAAAATTAAGTTCTCGGTCCACTTCATCCCAAAATTATTATCTGATCATCACCGAAAATTACAAGCTCTGTCCTTGACCATAACTGGAACCCCATGGAATATTTCAAATCGATCAGCGTTATATTTCCGCCCTCTAGTGTGGTAAGGGTTACTATATAATATCTGAATACGAAAGCACCTGTAAATATGTAAGTGTAACTCCCACATCCGAGAACATACGACAATATAATTGGTATCAATTTAAAGGTCAGCCACTCCTCTTGAATATACTATCAACTTATCGGGTCTATGTCCTTTAGGAGTAAATATATACGCCATAGAATCCAAATTGTGTAATTTTTCACACAAAAGTCAGGGTCCATTTGACCCGCTAAATATTGACCGATCTTCATCAAAACAGGCATGTTTATTCTTTGGCCCGATCTCCTTCTTCATGTGAAATTTCACGATGTTTGGGCCATAATCGCGGTCTCTGGAGCGCCCAGAAAAACCGAAAAAATATTAGTATTTGGTCGATTTCATCCCCTAAATATTAACCATTCTTTACCAAAAACAATAGGGGTCTTCATTGGCCAGAACCCATCCTACATGCAAAATTTCGTGAAGATTGGTCCATAACTGTGGCCTGTATCGTGTTTACAAATTATAATGGACAGACGGACGGACGGGCACACATGTCTAGATCGACTCAGCTAGTCGAGATATGACGATCGGTATACTTAAAGGTGGGTCTAGGACCAATATTTCGCGGCGTTACAAACTCTTAGGGCTGCACAAAGCTATAATACCCTGACACCATAGTTGTGTAGGGTATAAAAATCAAATTTTTGGTAAAGTTACGAGCTTTTCAATACAGAGAAGAGGTAAAAAACGTGTTCAGTACTAATTTGTGTGTACAGTCCAAATTATTTAAATCGCTTCGCATTCGAATTTTAGGAATTCTGTCATCGGAATTATTTTTGATTCGTATAAAAATAAATAAAGAGAATAAGACGACTTTTCCGTCGATTTTGTGTTTGGTTTTCTTGATATTGGACTTTTATTTTTCAGAAAGAATAGCGATGTCAAATTTTGTTCATATCCTAGTTAGAATAGTTGCATTAAATCTCTGAACAGAAAATTCTTCTATGTTTACGGAAAATATTCGGGCCATAGGGGGTATAAGTATATTGATTTATTAATGTGAATGATTGAAACAACTACTCATAACTTTTGCAACGTAACCCATTCAATTGATTGTTAAATAAAGCTCAATTAAGACCATGACATTTGAATTGATTGAAATTGTATTTTTTCTATTGCTTTCGCAATACCATGTACAAAAATGTTCGAATAATAGCTGAGAGTTACTATATATTCATACACCCCACACAACAATGTGGTCAGGGTATTAAGGGCCCCATACACTATACATAATGCCGTACAGCATTTATCATAGTATGTGTTATTTTTTGAAAGTTTATTTATGTATGTGTGACACACACAATGCATGAAGAAAATCAAAATAGTTTTGATTTTGAAAATGAAACCCTTTCAATCTGGTGAATTTTATTAATTTTCAAAGTTAACAGTAAATAATTTTGAGTATACAAATAATAAAATTATGACGAAATAAAAAAAGAACTGAATTTGTAACTCAAAATGTGATTTTTTTGGACGAAAATCGATTTTTTTGGAATAGTGATTGAAGAGTTTGCCATACACTAGTCAATTTCACATATACAACCAGTAAGGAAAGTAGTAAAGTCGGATGGGGCCGACTATATGATACCCTTCACCACTTTGGGTATATTCAACAGATGAATCTTAACAGACGTCGCATTTTTAAGGATCAGTAAAATTAAATTGGACACATAAACATATCTTTATGTAACCTGTACTAAATTTTTCATTTGGTCAGATATAGAGTTGCTTCTTACAATGGGACATAATTATGTAAATCAATTTAAAGCATATATCAGTCGGATCAATTTAATACATATATCAGTCGAAAAAAAAAAAATCGGACGAAAATATTTATAAAAGCTATATCGAAATCTGAACTAATTTCAACAAAACTTGCTACACGTTATCTCATAATAATTTCTATAAGTTGTGCAAAATTGTTTGCCAATCGGACCCACCTGGGGAATTCGGTGCAGCATTTATATCTAAGTTATAGGTTATACTAAGTTCATTACCAAAGATATATAGGGACTCTGGTGCGCCATTTATCTAAAATCGGATGAAAATATATATTGGAGCTATATCTAAATCTTAACCGATTTTCACGAAATTTAACACACATCACTCTAGACTTTATTCAGTATGCTGTACCAAATTTCGTGGAAATCGAAAGATATATAAGTACTTTGGTACACCATTTTCCTAAAATCGGACGAAAATAGATATGGGAGCTATATCTAAATCTGAACCGATTTTCAGGAAACTTAACACACATCATTCTAGACTATGTTCAGTACGCTATACCAAATTTCGTGCAAATCGAAAGATGTTTTTGGACATTGGTGCACCATTTACCTTAAATCGGACGAAAATATATATGGGAGCTATATATAAATCTGAACCGATTTTCATGAAACTTAGCACACATCATTTTAGGCTTAATTCAGTACGCTGCGCAATTCAAATAATAAATGCGACCTGTACTTTGTTTACAATTTAACATGGACAGACAGACATGTTTAAATCGACTTAAAAAGTGATTCTATGCATATTCTCACAAGGATCCATGTGTCTATCTCGTTTCCTTTTGCCTGTTACAAACATATGCACAAAGACATAATACATAATAAAATACATAATAATACATACATAATAAAAAGTGGGTTATAAGGGGACTACCCCTAAAAGGGGGTGAATACTAATAATTTTTGGTAGGGAAATTTGTTACTATATACGACTACAAATTACCAAATTACAGCGAATTCGGTTGAAAACCGAGCTCAAGAACCCCAAAATACTGAAAATTGGAGGGTACCCTTATATGGGGGCTACCCGAAAAAAATGGACCTATATTTATAATTTTTAGTGGAGAGATTTGCTACACAATAAGAACTCAAAGTATCAAATTTCAGCGAATTCGGTTGAAAAACGGGCTCAAGAACCCAAAAATACCGAAAATTGGGGGTACCCTTATATGAGGGCTACCCGAAAAAATGGACCTATATTTATAATTTTTTGTGGAGAGATTTGGTATCGAAAAAGAACGCATTGTACTAAATTTCAGTGAATTCGGTTGAAAAACGGGCTCAAGAACCCTAAAATATTGAAACTTTGGAGGTACCCTTATATGGGAGCTATGCCTAAACTTGGACCGATTTTCACGAAACTTAACACACATCATTCTAGACTACGTTCAGTACGCTGTGCCAAATCGAAAGATATTTAGGGACATTGGTGCACCATTTACCTTAAATCGGACGAAAATATATATGGGAGGCAGGAAAGTAAGCAGGGGGGCGGCCCGGGGAGCCTGGGCCCCCCCGGAAATGTATTTTTTCACAGTAAATTTATGATTGCCACAGCAAATTTTTTCATTTTGTACTACCGGGCAAACCCCAAAAGGGGTTCATCCGCATGATGTATAGTGTATGGGGCCCTTTATAGCTTTGTGTAGCCCAAGAGTTTGTAACGGCGCAAAATATTGGTCCAAGACCCACCTTTAAGTATACCGATCGTCATATATCGACTAGCTGAGTCGATCTAGACATGTGTGTCCGTCCGTCAGTCTGTCCATTATAATTTGTAAACACGATACAGGACACAGTTAAGGACCAATCCTTACGAAATCCATGTAGGGTGGGTTCTGGCCAATGAAGACCCCTTTTGTTTTTTGGTAAAGATCTGTTAATATTTAGGGAATGAAATTGACTAAAAACTTTATTTTTGACTGATTTTCTGGTCGCTCCAGAGGCCGCAATTATGGCCCAAACATCGCGAGTTTTTTATATGGAGAAGGGGACCGGCCAAGCATTCCTTTTTTGGATAAAGATCGGTCAATATTTAGCGGGTGAAAAATTACAAAATTTGTATTCTAGAGCGTATATATTTACTCCTAAAGGACATAGACCCGATATATTGATAGTATATCCCAGAGGAGTGGTTGAGCTTTAAACGGATACCAATTATATTGTCGTATGTACTCCGATGTGGGAGTTACACTTACATATTTACAGGTGCTTACGTATTTATATATTATTTACTAAACCATTACCACACTAGAGGGCGGAAATATAGCGCTGATCGCTTTTAAATTTTCCATGAGGATCCAGGTTATAATTTTCGGTGATGATCAGATACTAATTTTGAGATGAATTGGACCAAAAATTTAATTTTTTGTGTTTTTTCGAGTCGATCGACAATTGAAAATCGAACATTACAACACAAACCACCGTGAAGGCAATCTGTACAAGTAATTAGAAGGGCTGTACTGAATATTAGTAATATTTGGAATATATGTCAGTGTAAGGAATCGGGCAACTGGGTGCAACTATCACGAAATATTGCCCAGGCTCGGAATAAAAATCCGCAGAAAGTTAGAGTTCCGTGGTAGTTGTGTAGGTCAGAAAAAAATGATAATCGCTTGGTGTCAAGTCCGGACTGTATGGCGGATACATTAAAACTTCCCAACCAATCTCCCGAAGATTCTGGTCAAGCGTTGTCCTGGTGGAACACGACACCTCTCCTGTTGGTCAATTCTGGTTGTTTCTTGTCAATTGCTATTTTCAAGCGGTCAAGTTGTTGACAGTAGAGATCAGAATTTAGCGTTTTGCCATATGGAAGTAACTCATAATAAATAATCCCCTTTCAGTCCTACCGAATGCATAGCACCATTTGAGGTGTTTCACCGCTCTTTGACCACGATCGTTTTCGCACAGGGTTATCGTCTGTGATCCATTTATCATCTCCAGTCACAATACGTTTAAGAAATGTGTCTATCTCAATCCGATGGAAATTCGATCCATTCTATTTATACCCTTCACCACACTGTGGTACAGGGTATTATGTCTTTGTGCATATGTTTGTAACAGGCAAAAGGAAACGAGATAGACACATGGTTCCTTTTGAGAATATGCATAGAATCACTTTCTTAGTCGACTTATGCATGTCCGTCCGTCTGCCTGTCTGTCCATGTTAAATTGTAAACAAAGTACAGGTCGCATTTATGATCCGAATTGGATGAAATTTGGCATAGGTCACTTGTTTGGCCCAAGGACGAACCCTATTGAAATTGGGAAAAATCGGTTCAGATTTAATATACCTCCCATATATATTTTCGTCCGATTTAATGTAAACGGTCCCTATATATCTTTCGATTTGCACGAAATTTGGCATAGCGTACTGAATTAAGCCTAGAAATATGTGTTTTTTATTTCGTAAAAATCGGTTCAGATTTAGATATAAATCCCATATATTTTTGTCCGATTTTAAGTAAATGGTGGACCAAAGTCCCCATATGTTTGTTATATATAATAAAGTATTCAAAATGTGGCCGAATGCCCAAAACATACTAAAATAAGTGTAACCTCCTAACATGTGACAAGTTTCGATGAAATCGGTTTACATTTAGACATTTTGCTTTAAATTAATTTACATAATTTTGTCCTTTTGTAGGAAGCAACTCTATATCTGACAACAATGTAAAGTTTGCAGAAAGACCTGTTTAATTTCATATTAATGGTCCTTCAAAAATGCGACGTCTGTTAGGCTTCCATCTGTTGAATATACCCAAAGTGGTGAAGGGTATCATATAATCGGCCCCGTCCGACTTTACTACTTTCCCTACTGGTTTTTTTCTGTTAATTGGCGCGACACCCAAACATCGAGCTTCTTTGTGATCAGCTTTGTATAAATGGTTTAAAACAGTTTTATGTTCGATTTTTAGCACCTGGGCGATGTTACGGCTGCTAACATGCCGGTCAACTGCGATAATTTCTCCGATTTTATCGACATTTTCGACGACCGGCCTAATTGATTTCTTTTTCCCCAAGCTAATATTAATAATTTTTTGTCCGGAGATGTGGTGTACCATTATGAGATCCCAAATGCTAAGTTAAAGCCAATTTGTGTCAAAATCCTCATATTGAGGGGTACCATATTATGGGGACGTGGATCAATATTAGAAATTTTTAGCACGGAATACAATGAGAACCCAAAATACCAATTTGCAGCCAATTCGGTTCGACATCGTGTCCAAAATGCCCAAAATACCGAAGATTGGGTGCTACCGTATGGGGGCTAGATCGAGACGTGGACACATATATTCCATTTTGCAATACCAAATATCATAGGAGTACAAGCAGTGCCTGTGCAAAATTTTGTACCTCTATCTTTAATATTGCAATCTCTATCGTGATTTCAACAGACGGATATGCAGACGGACAAACGTAAATCGACATAGAATTTTATTCTGATCAAGAATATATATAATTTGTTGGGTCTCCGGAGAATATTTCGAGGTGTTGCAAACGGAATGATAAATTTAATATACACTCAACCTTATGGTAGAGGGTATAAAATGAGGCACTAGGGCTAGAGATGTAAGAAGGATTTATTTTACAAAAATATACCTATTTCAAAATTATACCGAAATAGGCACAAGCGGAGATAAAGAAATTGAAATATATTCTAACAAATATCTTTACTTATTTATCTATGTGCTTATTTTGCAGTACATACAAATACACCGATGATTTTGTTGGAATTTTCACAAATCGTACCCCGCAGCTATTCATTATCAATCCAGAGTTGGCAAGACGAATTTATATTCAAGATTTTAAACACTTTCATGACAATGAAAGTTCTCAAATGGTAAGTACTGTGATAATATTTATGTCGATAACGAATGCAATAACTTCAATGTGGTTTAATAAAACCATTGCCTTAATTTATGTATTATTTTTTAGATTGATGAAAAGACCGATTTCCTTTTTGCCAACAATCCCTTTGTTACTGGTGGTGAAAAATGGAAACAACGCAGATCTGAAATAGTTCCGGGCCTTACATTAAGTCGGGTAAATATACGTTTGTTTACAGAAAATAACAACAACAACTTGACATTTGAACATATTTACAGATAAAATCGATGTTTCCCATAACGTTAGCAATATGCAAGCGTTTGGCGAATTACATAGAAAAGGAACTGAAAATTCCATCTGACGAGGGCATTGATGCAAAGGATGTAAGTAAACTAAAATATAAATGAAATGATTTATTTGTATGGATCACAAGATAAATGGATAGTTCCGCAAAATCAATCAGACCGAGCGTTACTTTTGTGATTTTTTAAAACTTACAGGAGGAGTGTATTTTAATTTTGTCAGACCTTTTGAAACTCGTCCGTCTGTTGATGTTAAATTTTAAACAAAGTACAGGTGGCATTTATAATCCGATTTGGATGGTACATCTCATTTATTTGGCTCAAGGATTAACCCTATCGAAATTGGGAAAATCGGTTCTAATTTAGATATAGATCCCATATATAATACCACTGTGGTACAGGGTATTATGTCTTTGTGCATATGTTTGTAACAGGCAAAAGGAAACGAGATAGACCCATAGTTCCTTTTCAGAATATGCATAGAATCACTTTATGAGTCGATTTATGCATGTCCGTCCGTCTGTTGGTGTTAAATTGTAAACAAAGTACAGGTCGCATTTATAATCCGATTTGGATGAAATTTGGAACAGCTCATTTGTTTGGCCCAAGGACGAACCCTATTGAAATTGGGAAAAATCGGTTCAGATTTAGATATAGCTCCCATATATATTTTCGTCCGATTTCATGTAAATGGTGCACCAATGTCCCTATATATCTTTCGATTTGCACGAAATTTGGCATAACGTACTGAGTTGAGCTTAGAGTGATGTCTGGCAAGTTTCATGAAAATCGGTTCAGATTTAGATATAGTCCCCATATATAGTTTCGTCCGATTTCATGTAAATGGTGCACCAATGTCCCTATATATCTTTCGATTTGCACGAAATTTGGCATAACGTACTGAATTGAGCTTAGAGTGATGTCTGCCAAGTTTCAAGAAAATCGATTCAGATTTAGATATAGCTACCATATATAGTTTCGTCCGATTTCATGTAAATGGTGGACCAAAAACCATATATATGTTTCGATTTTCATGAAATTTGGCATAACGTACTGAATTAAGCCTAGAATGATGTCTGCCAAGTTTCGTGAAAATCGGTCCAGATTAAGATATAGCTACCATATATAGATTCGTCCGATTTCATGTAAATGGTGCACTAAAGTCCCTGTATATCTTTCGATTTTCACGTAATTTGGCGTAACGTACTGAACTGAGCCTAGAGTGATGTCTGCCAAGTTTCAAGAAAATCGGTCCAGATTTTGATATAGCTCCCATATATATTTTCGTCCGATTTAAGGTAAATGGTGCACCAGAGATCCTATATATCTGTTGATTTGAAGAAATTTGGTATAACTTAATGAACTGAGCCTAGAATGATGTCCGCCAAGTTTCGTGAAAATTGGATCACATTTAGATATAGCTCCCATATATAGTTTCGTCCGATTTCATGTAAATGGTGCACCAAAGTCCCTATATATCCTTCGATTTGCAGGACATTTGGCATAACGTACTTAATTGAGCCTAGAATGATGTCTGCCAAGTTTCGTGAAAATCGGTTCAGATTTAATTATAGCTCCCATATATAGTTTCATCCGATTTGATTTAAATGGTGCACCAAAGTGCCTATATATCTTTCGATTTGCACGAAATTTGGCATAGCGTACTGAATTGAGCATAGAGTGATGTCTGCCAAGTTTCGTGAAAATCGGTCCAGATTTAGATATAGCTACCATATATAGATTCGTCCGATTTCATGTAAATGGTGCACCAAAGTCCCTGTATATCTTTCGATTTTCACGAAATTTGGCATAACGTACTGAACTGAGCCTAGAGTGATGTCTGCCAAGTTTCAAGAAAATCTGTCCAGATTTTGATATAGCTCCCATATATATTTTCGTCCGATTTAAGGTATATGGTGCACCAGAGATCCTATATATCTGTTGATTTGAAGAAATTTGGTATAACTTAATGAACTGAGCCTAGAATGATGTCCGCCAAGTTTCGTGAAAATCGGTCCAGATTTAGATATAGCTCCCATATATAGTTTCGTCCGATTTGATTTAAATGGTGCACCAAAGTCCCTATTGGCATAGCGTACTGAATTGAGCATAGAGTGATGTCTGCCAAGTTTCGTGAAAATCGGTCTAGATTTAGATATAGCTCCCACATATAGTTTCGTCCGATTTCATGTAAATGGTGCACCAAAGTCCCTATATATCTTTCGATTTGCACGAAATTTGGTATACCGTACTGTATTAAGTCCGAAATAATATGTGTTAAGTTTCATGAAAATTGGATCATATTTAGATATAGCTCCCATATATAGCTTAAATGGTGCATCAAAGTCCCTATGTATCTTTCGATTTGCACGAAATTTGGCATAATGTACTGAATTGATTCTGGAATAATGTCTGCTAAACTTCGTGAAAATCGGTTCATATTTAGATATAGCTCCCATATATATATTCGTCCGATTGATGTTAGTCGGTTCACTTATGGATAACTATCACATATTCATCCTTCAAAAACCTACGTCTGTTAAGGGCTAAGCAGAATGCTCGCGTTGAGCCATCCGTCGCGTTATATGTTATCGAAAATACAACAACCTTGTGGTTGCTGCATTTTCGATAACATATAACGCGACGGATGGCTCAACGCGAGTATTCTGCTTAGCCCTTTAGGCACCCATGTTGAATATACCCAACGTCTTCTTTACTACATTCGTACTGGTTATTGTCGTAATTGTAAAATCCGTAGGTGAAAATAAATTAAGAATCATTGGTTAGAAAAAAAAAAATAATTCAAAATCGGCTCAATATTTTATTGTGATCAAGCATCCGAGCCTATCGCCTATCGTCATCATTTATTTTGTCACCAATTATTTAAAAAAAAACCAGTAAGGAAAGTAATAGAGTCGGACTGGGCCTACTATATGATACCCTTCACCACTTTGGGTATATTCAACAGATGAATCCTAACAGACGTCGCATTTTTGAAGGACCAGTAAAATGGCAATATTAATTTCAGTACGTTGTGCAAAATTGTGTAGAAAACGGCCAACATTTGGGTCTTTTGTGCACCTTTTACTTAAAATCGGAAGAAACTATATCTAGGAGCTATGTTTAAATCTGAACCGATTTCAACAAAACGTGTCAAACTTTATGTTATATTATCTTCCGTAGGTTGTGCAAAATTTTGTGCCAATCGGACCCACCTGGGGAATTTGGTGCTTAATTTATATATAATATCTAGGTTATATTAACTTCAAAGCGTTGTGCAAAATTTTGTGTCAATGTTGTGTAAAATCGGACGAAAATAAATATGGGAGCTATATCTAAAACTTGAGCGATTTTCAGGAAACTTAACACACATCATTTTAGACCTAATTCAGTACACTATGCCAAATCTAAATCTAAATCTGGACCGATTTTCTCGAAACTTGGCAGACTGACCTTTGCCAAAATGCATCCAATGGGTGAAGGGTATAAACATTGGTATCTAGGGATGATTGTGAAAATCGACTACTAGAGTTTCTTTGCAAATAGAGAGCAGGACTTCTATGATAAAGCATTATTAAGTTACCTTTAAAATGGCAACAAATCATACAACGAAATGGTGCATATTTGGCCCAAATCGGACATTCCGAAGCATGTCAAATAAAGTCCTATAGTTCATATAAAAACAATGAATTTCTTTTTCCCCAACCTTATATTATACAGGCCTAATAAGTTACATTAAACGCTGAATAATAATTTGTACATTTTATTATTCAAAAGAGTTCAACATTTCGCTTTAATATAAACCTCCCATGTAAATAATCGTATTTTCTAAACACATTCAAGAATATTGTGCGGTTATGAAGAAGGGAATTGCACATCACAAAGTGGAGTTCGTAAATATTTACAGCTGATTACATTTTGATTTTATTCACTTTTTCAATACGTTAGTCAGCTAACCGAGGCAATTTATTTAATCTTGAGCATTATGCATTGCACTCCAACGAGCACATGTTTACTGAAAGTTGCTATTGTATTACGTTTAGAATCAACTACAAAACTTTTGTGTATTGACCTCTTTCGGTGAATGCAAATGCTGCATTGCAGTTTACAACCAGGTCTGACAGCTATTGATACCCGAAGTGCATAAATTAGTTAATAACTAAAGTTAGGAAAGTTTATAATATTTCCTTGCATAAAATTGAATATTTATAATTATCCTGATGCTTTTCAAATATTATAATGACTTCATCAATAACAAATGGGATCAATTAATAGAGAAAGAAAAATACAAATAAGAAAATTTTAATCTAAATAGACTTAACCAACGTATTTAAAAGACCGTTACATGAGAGCTACTAACCTGCACCAGAGTGTGGTGAAGGGTATAAAAATGCTTATATTGTTTTACAATGAATTGTCTGGCATGATGTATACACGTTTTCCTAATCTCAAATCAATAGTCGAAACACTTTTTCTGTTGAGACACTTCGAAAACGTGTTATTTCAACTGAATCGGCTCCACACGAAAATCTTTGATCACGCTTTAGATTCATGTTGTGCGAGGATCAATTCCACATTGTCGGGAAGTTTTAACCGTTTCAAGCTCTCTTGTTGGTCTGAAGCCTTCAGGGCAACAACACCCCGCATTGTAAGTTCAAGCGAAACACTCGCCACCGGGCAAATGTTTCCGAAATAATATCATTTATGTAATTAACGGAAAGTCCTTCTTTTGACGACAGGCATGACTTCGGATGACTGGAAGGTCCAATTTCAAAAAGTAGTAAAGTCGGACGGGGCCGACTATATGATACCCTTCACCACTATGGTTATATTAAACAGGACAATTAACATAAAATTGGATGAAAAAAATTTGATATTTATCTAAATCTGAATCTACCTAGATCTATCCATAAAGTATGTCAATCGACTTCAAACAAATATAAATAGGTCATCCGTTGGGCTATGTCGGTACTTCTAGAAAACGCAACTACGTAATTCTATACTCAATTTTGTACGTTGTGCAAAATTTGATGTCAATCTGACTAACATGAGGAGTTTGATGCCCAATTTACTTGAAATCGGGCGAAAATATATATGGAAGCTCTATCCAAATATTAAGCGATTTCAAACAAACTTGTCACAGGTTAGGTTGTACTAATTTCAGAACGTTTTGTTCCTATAGGTTCCTTAGTACGTCAATTACTTAAAATCAATCTATAAGAAAAGGGAGCTATATCTAAATCTGGACCGATTTTCACGAAACTTGGCAGACATCATTCTAGGCTCAATTAAGTACGTTATGCCAAATTTTGTGCAAATCGAAGGATATATAGGGACTTTGGTGCACCATTTACATGAAATCGGACGAAACTATATATGGGAGCTATATCTAAATCTTGACCTATTTTCACAAAACTTGGGAGACAGTACGTTATGCCAGATTTCGTGCAAATCGAAAGATATATAGGGAATTTGGGGCACCATTTACATGAAATCGGACGAAACTATATGTGGGAGCTATATCTAAATCTGGACCGATTTTCTCGAAACTTGGCAAACATCACTCTAGGCTTAATTCAGTACGTTATGCCAAATTTCGTGCAAATCGAAAGAAATATAGGGACTTTGGTGCACCATTTACATGAAATCGGACGAAACTATATATGGGAGCTATATCTAAATCTGGACCGATTTTCTCGAAACTTAGTAGACATCATTCTAGGCTCAATTTAGTACGTTATGCCAAATTTCGTGCAAATCGAAAGATATATAGGGACTTTGGGGCACCATTTACATGTAATCGGAAGAAACTATATATGGGAGCTATATCTAAATTTGGACCGATTTTCACGAAACTTGGCAGACATCACACTAGGCTTAATTCAGTACGTTATGCCAAATTTCGTGCAAATCAAAAGATATATAGGGACTTTGGGGCACCATTTACATGAAATCGGACGAAACTATATATGGGAGCTATATCTAAATCTGGACCGATTTTTACGAAACTTGGCAGACATCATTCTAGACCTAAATGATTAGGCTGTACCAAATTTCGTGCAAATCGAAAGATATTTAGGGGCCGTTTACATTAAATCGGTTAAATATATATATGGGAGCTATATCTAAATCTGAACCGATTTTTCCCAATTTCAATAGGGTTCGTCCTTGGGCCGAATAAGTGACCTATGCCAAATTTCATCCAATTCGGATCATAAATGCGACCTGTACTTTGTTTACAATTTAACATGGACAGACAGACGGACAGACGGACAGACGGACAGACGGACGGACGGACGGACGGACATGCATAAATCGACTTAGAAAGTGATTCTATGCATATTCTCAAAAGGAACCATGTGTCTATCTCGTTTCCTTTTGCCTGTTACAAACATATGCACAAAGACATAATACCCTGTACCACAGTGTGGTGAAGGGTATAAAAATTAACGTGTTTTCCATTTCTTTCGATTTCAGCTAACATCCCGTTTTATGGCCGATGTTATAGCAGACTGTGTAATGGGTTTGGAAAGCGATAGCTTTAAAGATATCAACTCTCCCCTGTTGGTTAAGAGACATGAAATGTTTCGATTTCATCCGATATATATGATCATAACGGGTCTACTGCCAATGATTGCAAAAATTAAAAAAGTTCGTTCAATAAGTAAAGAATTCGAAGACTATTTTGTTGAGTTGATGGAAAAATCGATTGAGATGAGGAAATCACATGCGGCCGCTCAAGAGAGAGTGGATTTTCTAAATTATTTGTTGCAGCTGCAGGCGAAGAAAAATTTAACTCACATGGAATTGTGCGCTCATGCTATGACTTTTATACTGGATGGTTTCGAGACGGTCTCCTCAATTTTGGCGCATACCCTACTATTGGTAAGAATATTATGTCTCATTTCCTTGAAATTCTATTTTTAAAAGTATCTTCTATCAATTGCAGTTGGCTCGTCATCCTCAGACACAAGAAAAATTACGACAAGAATTTGAGGAAAATTTGTCCGCAGGAAATCGAGATTTTAATGCCATACATGAATTACCCTATTTGAACGCCTGTATACTTGGTAGGAATGGCGTTTAAGCCACTCTAATGTTTAAGTATCTCATCAACTGAAAATTTTTATGATTTTTGTAGAAGCCATTCGCCTGTTCCCCGTTGACTTGTATTCACGAAAACTTTGCACCGAACCCATTGTATTGACTAATAAAAATGGCAAAGCATTTAAGGTTCCCCGCGGCATGTTGGTCATAATACCCAAATATCCAATTATGATGGACGATGAATACTATGAAGATCCTATGGAATATCGACCAGAAAGATTTTCCGAAGAAAATGGAGGAGTTAAAAAGTATCTAAACAAAGGTGTCTATTGGAGTTATGGTGATGGACCCAGGATATGTTTGGGTATGTTATTTAATTGTATTTTTGTGTGTAGAATTGTAATCTGTAACCCTATGATTCTCTTTACAGGTGTCACCTTTGGCTTTGTTCAGATTAAGGCAGCACTCGTTGAAATATTAACAAAATTTAGTGTAAAACCGAATCCAAAAACTCGCAACGATTATGCATTGGATCCAACATATTTCTTAGCACGTCTTGATGGTGGAATATATTTAGATTTTGAATTACTTTGAGTTGAATATGAGTTGTGTAGTACCATTGAAGCAAAAAAAAGTGAATAAAAAATAATGGTGGTAAATGCGTATAGTGAAGTTTCGATTATCGATCTTTAATCATACCCTTCCCAACACTTTGGCACATGGTATTATCTCTTTGTGCAGGTCGCATTTATAATCTGAATTGGAGGAAATTTGGCACAGCTTATTTATATGGCCCAAGAACAAACCCTGCTGAAATTGGAAAAAATCGGGTCAGATTTACATATAGCTCCCATATACTTTTTCGTTCGATTTAATGTAAATAGTGCACCAAAGCCCTTAATTATACACTCTTTGTGCATATGTTTGTAACAGGCCAAAGGAAACAATATAGACACATGGTTCCTTTTGAGAATATGCATAGAATTACTTTCTGAGTCGATTTATGCATATCCGTCCATCCGTCCGTAGATGTTAAATTGTAAACACAGTACAGGTCGCATTTATTATTCGAATTGGATGGCATAGCACATTCATTTGGCCCTATTGAAATTGGAAAAAATCGGTTCAGATTTAGATTAGCTCCCATATATATTTTCGTCCGATTTAATGTAAATAGTGCACCAAAGTCCCTATATATCTTTCGATTTGCACGAAATTTGGCACAGCGTATTGGATTGAGTCTAGAATGATGTGTGCTAAGTTTCGAGAAAATCGGTTCATATTTAGATATAGCTCCCATATATATTTTCGTTAGATTTAAGGTAAATGGTGCACCAAAGTCCCTATATATCCTTCGATTTGCACGAAATTTGGCACAGCATACTGGATTGAGTCTAGAATGATATGTGTTAAGTTTTGTGAAAATCGGTTCAGATTTAGATATAGCTCCCATACATATTTTCGTCCGATTTTATGTTAATGAAGCACTATAGCCCCTATATTTCTTACGATTTGCACCAAATTTGGCACGTTGTATTGAATTGAGCTTAGAATGGCGTTTGAAATCGGTTCAGATTTAGATATAGCTCCAATATATATTTTCGTCGGATTTAATTTAAATGGTGTACCACAGTCCATATATTATGTACCTTTCGATTTGCACGAAATTTGGCACAGTATTTTGAACTATGTCTAAAGAGATTTAGATATATCTCCCATATATTTTCATCCGATTTTATGTTAATGGAGCACCAAAGTTCCTACATTTCTTTCGATTCGTACGAAATTTGGCACAAAGCTTTGAATTATGTCTATAATGATGTGTACTAAGTTTTGTGAAAATCGGTTCAGATTTTGATATAGCTCCCATATTTATTTTCGTCCGATTTCATGTAAATGGTGCTCAAAAGTCCCTATATAACATTCGATTTGCACGAACTTTAGCATAGCGCACTTAATTAAGTCTAGAATGATGTGTGTAATGTTTCGTGAAAATATATAAATATAGACATATAGATATAGCTGGAGGGTATACAAAGTTCGGTGAGGCTTAACTTATCGACGTTTTTTCCTTGTCCTTTTCATTGGAAGTTTTACTCACACTCATCCAGGAACATTAGCTGCACTATAGTAAAGTTTCTTGTGGGGTTTAAAATGTCATGAAAATTAAATGTAAATTTTCTATGGTGGAGGGAATAAAACGTTAACGCCCCATTTAATTGGTCTTCACGACATTCTTTTCAAGTTCGTATAAACTACATCGATTAAAAAATGGTTAATGACAATTTAATTTACATGAAATGCAGTCTTGCCCCCTGCTACACTATTATTGCACTCTTTTAACTTAACCCTATCATTGTCTACGATTAACTTTTGCCATAATAACTCCGTGTCGAGTTTATTGTAAAATTAATTGCTGCTTATTATCTGCTTAAATGCTGACCTCATAAAAGTTAAGGAGCACAACACGTTTGCATGAAAGGATTTTCCACTGCAGTGATTTCTTGAAAATGTTCATGAGTTTTTGTCAATTAAGAAAATGTTCTGTTCTGGTCGGGTGAATGTGACAGAAAATGTAATGTCCCGTCATATCAAAATTGTTGGATATGACAACGTCTGTGAAATGACAATGCCTCCCGGTCCCAGTGATTGAAGAAATGCAACGACCACTTTAATTGGTATGATGTTTTAATGCAATTTTCTCTTCCTCCCAGCAGTAATGGAAAGTTGGACAAAACCAGCAAGCAAGTGCATACGTGTTGACCAACAGAATAACAATAACATACACACAATGAAGGACATTTTCTGGTGGGTACTGTCTGGTGTTTCTGGCAACAATTTATGCATTAATTGAGGTCTAGAGTTTTTTTTTCGACGTCATAATATTGAAATGCAAGTGGCGATGTGTTTTTAAAATTTCTTAAATTGGACGGGTTATTTATATGTAATGTAACAAATTATCTGCTAATAGGTTTCTTTTATGCTCTCAACTGGGCTATGGAACGTCAACATACAGAACATAAGGAGGCTAAAATCTTTAAAAAAAAATACAGTAAGGAAAGTTCAAAAGTCGGACGGGCCGGCTATATGGAACCCTTCACCACTTTGGGTATATTCTACATATGTATCCTTACAGACGTTGCCTTTTCGAAGGAACATTAACATGACATTGAGCGAACTTAAATCTGAATCTAACCCGATTTTTTCGCACGAGCTTTGGTAGGGATAGATTTCCATATCAAAGGCACGAAAATCTCGATGAACATGCAGAACAACATGAAGTTTAAATACAAATACAGAAACCACAATAACATTTCTGTAAATACACTTGTCCTGAGCGAACAAATTTATAAAAGTGGTTGTCAGAAATACTTCAACGTACAAAGCATTCAGATATAGTAACTTCTGTACATTGTACAACTTTGGGTCTTTAGTACACAAGTTACATTAAATCGAACGCAAAAATATGTACGGGAACTAAATCTAAACCGATTTTCACGAAACTTAGCACACATCATTCTGGACCTAATTCCTATGTCAAATTTCGCGCAAATCGAAATATATAAATAGGACTTTGGTGTCCCATTTACCTTAAATCGGACGAAAATATATATGGGAGCTATGTCTATATCTGAACCGATTTTCACGAAACTTAGCACACATCATTCTAGACCTAAATCATCGATATAGACCTAAATCGAAGGATATAAATGTACTTTGGTGCACCATTTACATTAAATCGGACGAAAATATATATGGGAGCTATATCTAAATTTGATCCGATTTTTCTCAATTTCAATACGGTTCGTCCTTGGGCCAAATAAGTGACCTATGCCAAATTTCATCCACTTCTGATCATTAATGTGTCCTGCACTTTGTTTACAACTTAACATGGACAGACGGACGGACATGCGTAACTCGACTAAGAAAGTGATTCTATGAGTATTCTCAAAAGGAACCATGTGTCCGTTTCCTCGTTTCCTTTTGCCTGTTACAAACATATTCACAAAGACATAATACCCTGTATCGCAGTATGGTGAAGGGTATAAAAATGGGGCGGAATATTTATATGCCAACTATGTTGTTAGGCTATAATAGCTTTGTGCAGCTCCAAGAGTTTGTAACGCCGCGAAATATTGGTCCTGGACACTATAGTTATACGTAATATTTAAAGGTGTCTATATGTTATGATATTGTTAATATTACTATTACGCCACTAGAGAGCGAAAATGTCGTGCTGATCGCATTGAAATTTTACATGAAGTTGAGGTTATGTCCTAGGACGACTCCTAATAATTTTCGGTTAAACTTTATTTTTGTCAGGTTTTCTAGTGGCTCTAGAGGCCATTATTATATGCAGAACGTCACATATTTCACAAGGTGAAGGGGATTTATTGCCCCAAAGACGAACCCTATTGATATTGGGAAAAATCGGTTCAGATTTAGATATAACTCCCATATATATTTTCGTCCGATTTTATGTAAATGGCGCACCAAAGTACATTTATATCCTTCGATTTGCACGAAATTTGGCACAGCAGTTTATTACACTCTCAGTCTTATGGCTAATGTAGGTATATAAATTTTGCTAAATTTTTTTGTGCCTCCCCGATATATTGCTTTTCGACTTCCAATTATTTTGGATCAAATTTGGTTCACACAATTTCGGGTAGATTTACAAATGATCGTCCCTCTGCCTGTCTGGTGCGCACAATAGCACTCGAAGGGAGTAACCGTTTCCATTCAAACTTTGCACATCGTAATATTTCTTCCAAACTTAAATAATGTTCGAAGATGGGGAATATCGGTCGACTCTTTGTTGTACTTCCCCCACCAAATGTCAAAATTTTGATGAAAATTAATTTTATAATATCACGCAAACGGACTATCTGGACTACAGCCTATGGAATATCCAATTTCATTGAAACTATGCACATAGTAATAATATTTTTACCATGTCTAGATCAGGTCCGAATATGAGACCCAACTGTCCATTGAACTTTGAAAATTTATTAATCTAATATTAACCGAATGGTGTATTAAACAAGATAAGAAGTGGGGGCTTGTCGCTTCACTCGTTCTAGTATCTCCTCCACCATAAAGGTTCAATATTTTGAAAACATGTGAATATCATATGAAGCAAACGGAATATCCAAATCTCATTTAAGGGGACCCCCCATTCTCGGGGTCAAACATTTTTATACCCTCCACCATAGTATGGAGGGTATATTAATTTTGTTTTTCCGTTTGTAACTCATCGAAATAATCATTTCCGACCCTATAAAGTATATATATATTCTTGATCAGCGTAAAATTCTATGACGATCTAGCCATGTCCGTCGGTCTGTCTGTTGTAATCACTCTAGCGTCTAAACGAATTGAGATAGATCGCCAAAATTTTGCATAGAGTCGTCTTTTGTCTGCAGGCAGGTCAAGTTCGAAGATGGGCTTTATCGGTCCACGTTTAGGCATAGCTACCATATAAGGGTACCCCCCATATTTTCGGTATTTTGGGGTTCTTGGGGTACTCAATTGGGTACTCAATGTCTCCACAAAAAATTATAAATATAGGTCCACTTTTTCTGGTAGCCCCC